ACAGAATATTCTTCCTTGTCCATATGGAGAAATATTCTTTAAATTTAATTCATCACACTGTTACATTATCAAACAAATTTCATTTCCACACCTCAAATTTTGATTCATCTTTAATTTTGTTACATCTTTTAATTTATTATTTTCATAAATAGAAATAGACGTCTATGATTTTAATTCTATTTTAATTGATTGTTAAAACTTATCAAATGTTTATAAATGTTTTTCTTTAAAAAAATTATGCTGAATCCTTTTCATCACGTAATCTTCTGCAGGACTTATAATGTTTTTTAATTGATTATGTGATAATCTGTTTTTAACTAAGCACCTATTGGTTTCAATTAGTTCTTAAAACTTATTCATTTTTAATAAATAATTTTCTCAAAAAATATATTTAAACTGGATCAAAATATCAAAATATATATTGTACTATTAATATGTTTATTTAAATTAACTTTGATTCTTTTAATGAAAATTTGAATTTGAATGGTTGACATAGACTTCTGTTAATTTTGGATATGTGAATTCTATATCCTATTCTTCAAACTTAAAAAATTAACTTTGGAAAAATAACATGACTCAGAGTAAAACATTTTTGTATAAATAATTAAAATTGTACTCGACTAAAAAATATTTGTAAAATTTAGATTGATCTTTTAATTTTTTTTTTTACTTCTAAATTATTATTTTCATTGCACTTTAATATATAAAAATGAATTACACCAAGAAGAAGACAAAAAATTAACACTTGATTTAAATGATTTAACTCAAACATACCAGACAAAGTGTATTTACCAAATTGAATGGTTTTAAGGATTATTTAGTATAAAATTAAAAATTAGGTGTCTTCGTTTAAAAATAAATTATGCTTATGGATCAATTGTAGCAAAATTAAATTTTGACGTATCTATTTGTAAATGTGACAAAATTTGAGAATCAATTAATATAAAATTAAAGTTTAAAGTGCATACTTATAAAAGGAATAAAATCAGGAGGGTTAAATATTTCTTCCAATAAGTTTCTACTTAACGTAATTTTAATTAATTTAGTTAGCTAAATTTATTTATTGCCTTTTATGTCAGAATTTATAAATAATAATAACAAGATGATAATAGAAAAATATAATATCTGCATTTTAAGAAATATATATTTCATCGAATTTAATGCATATAAATGATGAAATAAAATTATTTTGAAATGTGATAATTTTGAATACATGATTTAGGTAAAAAAAAACAATCTAACAATGAATTTCAATAATAAATGTTGTAATTAAAATTATTAAATACTATAATATTTAATATAATTATAA